GGTCAGTGGAGGGATTGGCAAAGAGGGATGGGGGACACTGAATGGAGGCCAGTGGATGGATTGGCAGAGAGGGGTGGCAGATACAGAACCTCAGACATGAAATATGAACAAAGCACATCCCTCAGTCCAGAGCATTGAGTGTCATTTCTGTCTGCTGCCTCCTTCCTCTGTGGTGCAGGAGTCACTTCTGACCAGTATTCCTGACACTAGGAAAAAAAATGGTGACGGGCAAGGGAGCTCCAGCACACAGCCTGTGATTGAAAGCCTCAGCTCTGTTCCTGTGGGAAGGGGGTGGGTCCCTTCGCTCCAATCAGCTCTCAGAGCTTTCTTCACTGGGCTCTGCATAGTGTACATTATGCTCTCCGCCCCTTTTTCTGAAAGCTCAGACAAGTTTTATAAATTCTGGACTTTGAAGGGATGTAGAGAATAGAAGACAGCGAATAAACAGGTACAACTTTTGTAGGATCTCATCTCTGTGTATCACCTGAGGCCAGTAACTTCACTGGGTATATGGAAGGGTTTACAACAACTTTAAAGCAGTAGTAAACCACAAAAAATAAAAAAAAAACAATGTAAGGGACATTCTTCCCACTGAACCCCAATGTAAGGGACATTCTTCCCACTGACCACCAATGTAAGGGACATTTTTCCCCCCACTGACCACCAATGTAAGGGACAATCTTCCCCCCACTGACCACCAATGCAAGGGACATTCTTCCCACTGACCCCCAATGCAAGGGGCATTCTTCCCATTGACCCCCAATGTAAGGGGCATTCTTCCCACTGACCCCAATGTAAGGGACAATCTTAACACTGACCCCCAATGTAAGAGACATCCTTCCCACTGACCACCAATGTAAGGGACATTCTTCCCACTGACCACCAATGTAAGGGACATTCTTCCCACTGACCACCAATGTAAGGGATGTTCTTCCCACTGACCCCCAATGTAAGGGACATTCTTCCCACTGACCCCCAATGTAAGGGGCATTCTTCCCACTGACCCCAATGTAAGGGGCATTCTTCCCACTGACCCCAATGTAAGGGACATTCTTCCCACTGACCCCCAATGTAAGGGACATTCTTCCCACTGACCCCCAATGTAAGGGACATTCTTCCCACTGACCCCCAATGTAAGGGGCATTCTTCCCACTGACCCCAATGTAAGGGGCATTCTTTCCCACTGACCCCAATGTAAGGGACATTCTTCCAACTGACCACCAATGTAAGGGACCGACATTCTTCCCACTGACCCCAATGTAAGGGACATTCTTCCCACTGACCCCCAATGTAAGGGGCATTCTTCCCACTGACCCCCAATGTAAGGGATATTCTTCCCACTGATCCCCAATGTAAGGGACATTTTTCCCCCCCACTGACCACCAATGTAAGGGACATTCTTCCCTCCACTGACCACCAATGTAAGGGACATTCTTCCCCTCACTGACCACCAATGTAAGGGACATTCTTCGCCCCACTGACCCCCAATGTAAGGGGCATTCTTCTTACTGACCCCCAATGTAAGGGACATTCTTCCCACTGACCGACCAATGTAAGGGACATTCTTCCCACTGACCCCCCCAATGTAAGACATTCTTCCCACTGACCACCAATGTAAGGGACATTCTTCCCACTGACCACCAATGTAAGGGACATTCTTCCCACTGACCGCCAATGAAAGGGACATTCTTCCCACTGACCCCCAATGTAAGGGACATTCTTCCCACTGACCACCAATGTAAGGGACATTCTTCCCGTTGACCCCCCAATGTAAGGGATATTCTTCTCACTGATCACCAATCTAAGGGACATTCCTCCCACTGACCCCCAATATAAGGGACATTCTTCCCACTGACCCCCAATGTAAGGGACATTCTTCCCACTGACCCCCAATGTAAGGGACATTCTAACCACTGATCACCAATGTAAGGGACATTCTTCCCACTGACCCCCAATGTAAGGGACATTCTTCCCACTGACCCCCCAATGTAAGAGACATCCTTCCCACTGACCACCTATGTAAGGGGCATTCTTCCCACTGACCACCAATGTAAGGAGCATTCTTCCCACTGACCACCAATGTAAGGGACATTCTTCCCACTGACCCCCCAATGTAAGGGGCATTCTTCCCACTGACCACCAATGTAAGGGACATTCTTCCCACTGATCCCCAATGTAAGGGACATTCTTCCCACTGATCACCAATGTAAGGGACATTCTTCCCACTGACCACCAATGTAAGGGACATTCTTCCCACTGATCACCAATGTAAGGGACATTCTTCCCACTGACCTCCAATGTAAGGGACATTCTTCCCACTGACCCCAATGTAAGGGACATTCTTCCCACTGGCCACCAATGTAAGGGACATTCTTCCCACTGACCCCCAATGTAAGGGACATTCTTCCCACTGACCACCAATGTAAGGGACATTCTTCCCACTGACCTCCAGTGTAAGGGACATTCTTCCCACTGATCACCAATGTAAGGGACATTCTTCCCACTGACCCCCAATGTAACGGACATTCTTCCCACTGACCACCAATGTAAGGGACATTCTTCCCACTGACCCCCAATGTAAGGGACATTCTTCCCACTGACCCCCAATGTAAGGGACATTCTTCTCACTGATCATTTTTCCAAACACTTGAGAATTGTCAATTGTACAAAAAATGTTCTCAGAACAGAATATTGTGGAGTTTTGAGGGTATATTTTTATTGGCCTCACAAGAAGCAGAACGGCTGAACACGGCAAAATGGATCTTGAAATTGAAATGTAACTGAAGGAAGAAAAATCATGAAAATGATATCTGGGAATAACCACGAAAAGCTTCTCCAGAAACGGCAAAACAGAGCAAAGAGGTTCAGCAACTGAGACGAACGTCCGTCTTGGAAATGAATGTCCGTCTTGGAAATGAACGTCCGTCGTGGAAATGAATGTCCGTCGTGGAAGTGAACGTCCGTCGTGGAAATGAACGTCCGTCGTGGAAGTGAACGTCCGTCGTGGAAATGAACGTCCGTCGTGGAAATGAACGTCCGTCGTGGAAATGAACGTCCGTCTTGGAAATGAATGTCCGTCGTGGAAATGAATGTCCGTCGTGGAAATGAATGTCCGTCGTGGAAATGAACGTCTGTCGTGGAAAGGAACGTCCGTCGTGGAAAGAAACGTCCGTCGTGGAAATGAACGTACGTCGTGGAAACGAACATCCGTCGTGGAAACGAACTTCCGTCATGGAAACGAATGTGTGTCGTGGAAACGAATGTCCATCGTGGAAATGAACTTCCGTCGTGGAAACGAATGTCTGTCGTGGAAACGAATGTCTGTCGTGGAAACTAATGTCCGTCATGGAAATGAATGTCTGTTGTGGAAAGATCGGATGCTGTGTATTAGAACATTTGTGACCTTTCTTCAACCTCTCTCGTCGGATCCACACATGTATCTGTCAGTAAAACACACAAATAGCGGGCAGTGCGTGGTCATGCAACACTGCATCCCCAAAAACATTTATGTTTTTGCGTTACTTTAGCTGATGATTGCGCGGTCATGCAACGCTGCACCCAGAAAAAAAAATTAAGTCCTCTCTTTCAGTGGTATTTTGCTGTCTGTGCGGTTTTTATTTTTAGCGCTTTTAAAAAATAACAATTTTGAGAAAAAAAACAATATTTTTGACTTTTTGCTATTAAACACGTTCAGTAAAAAATAATTATGACGCCGCACCCAGATGAAATTTATGTCCTTTTTTTCCCACCAATAGAGCTTTTTTCGGTGGTATTTGATCGCCTGTGCGTTTTTTATTTTTTGCTCGAGAAAGAAAAAAAGACCAACAATTTTGAGAAAAATACAATATTTTTCACTTTTTGCTATTAAACATGTCTAGTAAATAAATTTAAAAAAATCAAATTTTGTCATAAATTTTGGATGAAATGTATTCCAATTGAGCTTTCCTTACTTGGAATTTGATCGTCTGTGTGTTTTTAATTTTTTTCGCGCTATAAAAAAAAAAATAAATAAAGACCGCCAATGTTTAGAAAAAAATATATTTTTGACTTTTTGCTATTAACCCCTCACCCTCCAGAGGATTCCCCCCTCCCCCCTTCCTTTCTGACCAGGCCATTTTTGTTGCATTACTTTAGCTGACAATTGCACGGTCATGCAACGCTGCACCCAAAAAAAAATTACGTCCTTTCTTTCTCACCAATAGAGCATTCTTTTGGTGGTATTTTGTGACCTGTGTGTTTTTTATTTTCTGCGCTATATAAAAAAAAAAAAAAAACAATTTTGAGAAAAAAAACAATATTTTTGACTTTTTGCTATTAAACACCTCCAGTAAAAAAAATGTATGGCGCTGCACCCAGATTAAATTTATGTCCTTTTTTTTCCACCAATAGAGCTTTTGCCGTCTAGAAAATAAAAGAAGCCAACAAGCAGTTTGCAGACTCCACTGATTACTGAACTGTCACTTTTGCCAAGATATACCACTTAAAAAATTCCCCGTACTCTAAACACCAATAAGGAAGCCAGCTTGTTTGAAGTCTCTGGTGTGAAATAAATGCTGTTGTGTAAATGAAACATTTCCCGCACTCTAAACACCAATAAGGAAGCGTGTTTGAAGTCTCAGGTGTGAAATTAGAGCTGTTGATTAAATAAAACATTTCCCACACTCTACACTTCCAGAACATTCAATCATACGGAATCTCTTGCTGTGGGATCTTGGTGCACCGCTTTGTGCGTTTTCTGGTGTTTTAGAAGATTTCCTTTCTGAACAAAACATTTCCCGCACACTGAACATGAGAAAGGACGCTCACCCCGTGTGAATCCTGTGGTGTTTAAGGAGGTCGGCTTTTTGATTGAAACGTTTCCCACACTCTGAACATTTGAAAGGGCTGTCTCCCGTGTGACTTCTTTGGTGCGCAATCAGTTTTCCTTTACCAGAATAACATTTTCCGCAATCGGGACAAGAAAACGGACGCTCGCCCGTGTGACTTCTTTTGTGTATCACCAGCTTTCCTTTAACAGCGAAACACTTTCCGCACTCTGAACACGAGAAAGGATACTCACGCGTGTGAATTCGCTGATGGGTAACAAGTGTGCCTTTTTCGGTAAAACTTTTCCCGCACTCCGAACAGGAATAAGGACGCTCCCCTGTGTGAATTCGTTGGTGTTTAAGAAGGTCTCCTTTGTGCATGAAACATTTCCCGCACTCCGAGCACGAGAAAGGTCGCTCGCCCGTGTGGATTCTTTGATGCCTACGAAGGTCTCCTTTGTGAATAAAACATTTTCCGCACTCCGGACATGAAAAGGGACGCTCTCCCCATGTGAATTCTCTCGTGCCTAAGGAGGTCTCCTTTGTGAATGAAACATTTCCCGCACTGCGCACAGGAGAAAGGACGCTCGCCTGTGTGACCTCTCAGGTGTTTAAGGAGTATTTTTTTTTTCGGTGAAACATTTCCCGCACTCCGAACAGGCATAGGGACGTGCAGCCGTGTGACTTCTCTCGTGTAGAAGAAGGTCTCTGCTTTCAGCGAATGTTTTCCCGCACACCGAACAGGACATCGAGCGCTCTCCTGTGTGAACGCCTTCAGGGTTGGAATGAGATGGATTATGTGGGTGTGTACTTAGAATCGCAGTATGTGATTGATTGGGGGCTTCCTTCAGATTGCAGGGATGTAGATTGTGGGTGACAGCATTCCCATCGGGAGAATATTGAATAATGTGAAAATCTTCCGCACCTCCATCGGAAGATAAAGTCAGATGTCCCTCCGACGTGTTCCACACATAGCGCCCGCCTGGAGGAAAACAATATTAATAATAAATTAATTAAAAAAAGATTTACTTCGCCAACAAAATCATCAAAATAATCCCGATAAAAAAAACAATGAATAATAAAAGTGTTATCCATAATAATGCATCAACACATAAAGATATAAAAAATACATAAATAAACTATAAAATATACATATGTATAGTTTATATATTTATGAATATTTATCTATATTTTGTATATTTATGAATATTATGTTTATGTATATTTTGTATATTTGACCTATTCATGAATATTTACACACACACACATACATACATATATATATATATATATATATATATATATATATATATATATAATATACACAGTGGGGCAAAAAGGTATTTAGTCAGCCACCAATTGTGCAAGTTCTCCCTCTTAAAAAGATGAGAGAGGCCTGTAATTGGCATCATAGGTAGACCTCAACTATGAGAGACAAAATGAGAAAAAAAATCCAGACAATCACATTGGCTGATTTGGAAAGAATTTATTTGCAAATTCTGGTGGAAAATAAGTATTTGGTCAATATCAAAAGTTCATCTCAATACTTTGTTATATATCCTTTGTTGGCAATGACAGAGGTCAAACGTTTCCTGTAAGTCTTCACAAGGTTGGCACACACTGTTGCTGGTATGTTGGCCCATTCCTCCATGCAGATCTCCTCTAGAGCAGTGATGTTTTGGGGCCGTCGCTGGGCAACACAGACTTTCAACTCCCTCCAAAGGTTTTCTATGGGGTTGAGATCTGGAGACTGGCTAGGCCACTCCAGGACCTTGAAATGCTTCTTACAAAGCCACTCCTTCGTTGCCCAGGCGGTATGTTTGGGATCATTGTCATGTTGGAAGACCCAGCCATATTTCATCTTCAATGCCCTTGCTGATGGAAGGAGGTTTGCACTCAAAATCTCACGATACATGGCAGCATTCATTCTGTCCTGTACATGGATCAGTCGTCCTGGTCCCTTTGCGGACCAGCATGATGTTGCAACCCCCATGCTTCACAGTAGGTATGGTGTTCTTTGGATGCAACTCAGCATTCTCTCTCCTCCAAACACGACAAGTTGTGTTTCTACCAAACAGTTCTATTTTGGTTTCATCTGACTATATGACATTCTCACAATCCTCTTCTGGATCATCCAAATGCTCTCTAGCAAACTTCAGACGGGCCCGGACATGTACTGGCTTAAGCAGGGGGACACGTCTGGCACTGCAGGATCTGAGTCCCTGGTGGCGTAGTGTGTTACTGATGATAGCCTTTGTTACGTTGGTCCCTGCTCTCTGCAGGTCATTCACTAGGTCCCCCCTGTGGTCCTGGGATTTTTGCTCACCGTTCTTGTGATCATTTTGACCCCACGGGGTGAGATCTTGTGTGGAGCCCCAGATCGAGGGAGATTAACAGTGGTCTTGTATGTCTTCCATTTTCTAATTATTGCTCCCACAGTTGATTTTTGCTCACACCAAGCTGCTTGCCTATTGCAGATTTCAGTCTTCCCAGCCTGGTGCAGGTCTACAATTTTGTTTCTGGTGTCCTTCGACAGCTCTTTGGTCTTCACCATAGTGGAGTTTGGAGTGTGACTGTTTGAGGTTGTGGACAGGTGTCTTTTATACTGATAACAAGTTCAAACAGGTGCCATTGATACAGGTAATGAGTGCAGGACAGAGGAGCCTCTTAAAGAAGAAGGTACAGGTCTGTGAGAGCCAGAAATCTTGCTTGTTTGTAGGTGACCAAATACTTATTTTCCACCATAATTTGCAAATAAATTCTTTCCAAATCAGCCAATGTGATTGTCTGGATTTTTTTTCTCATTTTTTCTCTCATAGTTGAGGTCTACCTATGATGCCAATTACAGGCCTCTCTCATCTTTTTAAGTGGGAGAAACTTCCACAATTGCTGGCTGACTAAATACTTTTTTGCCCCATTGTATATAAATATATAAACTATACATAAACATAATATTCATAAATATATAAAAAATATACATAAATATTCAAAATAGATCAAATATACATAAACATAATTTTCATAAATATATAAAATATAATAAATATAATATTCATAAATATATAAAAAATATACATAAATATTAACAAATATATAAACTATAAATGTACATATGTATAGTTTATATATTTATGAATATTTATGTATATTTTTTGTATTTTATATATATTTTGTATATTTATGAATATTATGTTTATGTATATTTTGTATATTTGATCTATTTATATATTTTTATTTATATATATATATATATTATATATATATATATAAACACACACACACACACACACACACACACACATAAATATATAAAATATTTCCTAAATATATAAAAAATATACATATGTATATATTTTTTAATTTAGATTTTATTATGTTTATGTATAGTTTATATATTTACACACATAAATATATAAGCTATACATAAAATAATATTCATAAATATATAAAATATACATAAATAATAAATAGATCAAATATACATAAATAACAAACTATACATAAACATAATATTCATAAATATATAAAAAAATATACATAAATAAACTATAAATATACATATGTATAGTTTATATAATTTATGTATATTTTGTGTATTTTATGTATATTTTATTTATTTATGAATATTATGTTTTATGTATATTTTGTATATTTATGTTTTATTTAATTATTTATGAATATTTATGTATATTATTTTACATATATATATATAAATATATATATACACACACATAATATATATATATAAACTATACATAAACATAATATTCATAAATATATAAAATATACATAAATGCTAAATAAATGTAGATGTCTGCTGTTGTACCTTCTCTGTGGGAGCCTAGAAAGTTAAAGGACATGAGAGACACCTCTTTTTTTTTTTTTTTTTTAAAAATCAAACTTGAACTTTATAGGTGCATTCATTATCCCGTGTCAAACAATGAACAAAACAAAAACTGTGACTTACTAAATATATATTTTTATATATAAAATATCCCTAAATATTATAAAATATACATATGTATTTTATATATTTTATCTATTTATGAATATTTATGTATATTTAATATACATAAAAACTATACATAATATTCCTTAATATATAAAATATACATAAATACACATAAATATATAAAATATTCCTAAATATATACAATATACATATGTATATATTTTTTGTATTTAGGAATATTATGTTTATGTATAGTTTATATATTTTATGTATATTAAATATACATATTCATTACCAGATCAAATATACATAAATATATAAGATATAAATATACAGATGTATATTTTATATATTTCTGAATATTATTTATAAATTATGTAGATTTTATATATTTCTGAACATTTATATATATTTTATATATTTATGTATATTTAATATACATAAATATATAAAAATATATATAAAATATACATAAATATATCAAATATACATAAATATATCAAATAGAACACTCAATTCATGAAATATTTGGTGCATAGACAAATCCTTGGAATAAATATAGTCCCCAGGGATGTGCAATTCCTATCGGGACATGTAGTTCCGGGTAGGTAGTTTTTTCTTCTACCTTGCTTGCAGCAGGGCTCACCTGTCAGGTGGAAGAATTTGGATGCCGTCTGATTGCTCCCACACAGCCCACAGTGCCAGCCTCTCTCTCTCCCCCGCATACTATATGTCCTAGGCTCTGCTTGCCTATCTGCCGGACCGGGACTGGTTCAGTGGTTGCCAGCAGGATATGGAGAGTGGTTACATCCGCTCCCCTCCCCTTCTTGTCCTGACCCTGAACTGATGTGATGTCACTTTCGGGTCCCCGTTTGACAGATTAGTGGTTAGTGGTGTAATGCGTGGGGGCGGAGCGTAGTGATGTCACTTCAGTGTGTGTGTGTATATATATATATATATATATATTTATTTTATTTTTTTTTAATTTATTTTTTTTTTTTATTCTGACAGGAAGGCAGGAAGAACTAAGGGATGTGTCCAGGACGGGAGGTAAATTTTTCCCAGGTTCATGCTTTACACTGACTGTTTCTCCTGCTGTGCTGTGTAGTGAGCCTGTGTGGCTCACTGATGATGTAATTAGCTCAGCTGTAGTAGGTAAAGGGCTCTGGGCTCTATAAAACTCCCAGGATGCTTAGGGAGGATGCTCCAACCTGGAACCAGAACAGACTGGGCAGCAACCAACCAAACGATACTGCGGTGAGAGTAAATCTGCGTGATATTTGGACTGTGTGAACACTCCAGGGTTTATTCACCAAAGCTGGAGAGTCCAAAATCAGACTCCCTTCTGCATAGAAACCAATCAGCTTCTAACCTCAGCTTGTTCAATGAAGCTTTGGCAATGAAACCTGGAAGCTGATTGGTTTCTATG